TAGTACTATATAAATAAAAAAAAAAAAAAAAAAAACGAAAAGATAAAGAACAATATATATATATATATATATAATGCTGAAAATTGGAATTTACATTTTCTCAGGAAAAATCTTTAAATCTAAAGAACTTATTATTACAAACATAATTGACAGAAACGTTTGTATTTGGAAAAGTCCGAGATAAAGACACAAATAAATCGTACTAGAAAAAAAAAGAATCTTCTCTTCACAGAAAAAGAATTAGTCTTAAATCAAGATTAATCTTCTTAAAAATGTTCTTAATTCGATTGAATTAATAATTTGCAAGTATTACTTTTGCTCAACTCAAAACTAAAAAAAACCCTATACAAGGATTATAATAATATTCTTATACATGAAAATATCCGCATCGATACAAATTCAATGAAATCAAAGCCAAAACTTTTTAACAAGATTATAATACTCTTGCTTATATATGCGGAATATCTATCTTGATTTAGAGAAGATTAATCTCTTTCTGAGGATCAATTTAGGATAATTACAGGTTTTTTCGAATTCCACCAGCTTGTCCAAGATGACTTTCCTGTCGTCGTCGGACAGTTGGTCCCAACCCTTTACGTCCTCGGCCGGATCATCAATCTTCTTGGTCGTGGCGCGTTGTTTCGCGAATACGTCGAATAGGCAGGTGACATGGTGCCAAGCGGGCATCAGTTTACCCTCCGAGAAAAAGTTCGTCACGAACTTGCCGATCCGTATTTGGTCCTTTTCAATCGGACACTTGCACTTCTTGCATTTTGCGCGACCAGTTTTCGCGCGCTCCACGGCGAATGGTTTCTCTTCCTCTTGTTGTCGATCCTCTTCGGCGTCACTGGCCATATGGGATATTTGACACGTCTGTCGCAGTTGATCGAATTCACGCGTAACAAATAACAGATGAAAGAATTTTATTTCTGTAAAGAAAAAAAAAAGGAGTATTTTCTTATTCGAATAGTTAAGGGGAAAATTATACGAATATCGGAGCCGAGTAAAATTCTTTTTGAATTTAATTCAGAAATTAATTCGGGAGATACACAGAAAAAAATTAGTCTTAAAACAAGACTATACATATATCAAGAGATCATCATATATAAACAAAAATATTATAATTTTAGAAAAAATTTAGTCTCGATTGAATTTGTATTAATGCAAATCTAGATATTTTCATAAAAATATTATACTCCTTATATAGAAAATTTTTAGTTTTGAATTGAAAAAAAGTAAAAGTTATATCAATAACAATACAAATTCAATAAAATCAAGATTAAATTTTTTATAAGAAGCTTATAAAGTTTGTTTATATTTGAGAATATTTATTTTGATCTAAGATTAATTCTTTTTTTCTGTGTAAAATTGTTGCAATAGTCGATTCGTAAAAACGAAACATGAAAAGAACAAATTTTGTAATGTAACGTAAAGAACTTTACTAATTAATTAATAATTTTATTCCTCTCTTAATTAACAATGTTTTTAACTTATTAATACAGAGAAGAACATTTTATAAATTTCCCATTTTCAAACTGATTTTCTCAGAAACATGGCAAACACGTTTATTCTCACGTTCTTAACTTATTCCGTCAGAATCCCTGGCCTTCGGAATCGGCAATTATAAGACGCCTTGTGTAAATTACCACAACTGCTGTTTCAAATATGTAAGCGTATTTCTCACAAGGTTTCTGCGCGTGGTTCTCATTCTCTCCCCTTCTCTTTCCCCTTTCCTCCCTTCCGCTTTCCGTTTCGAACGTTTACAATGTTCGAACGCGCGTAACCGAGGAACCAGGGATTTACTGCGGATCTATCGCGGATAATACTACGCTTGTTAGCTTTGCATTAGTTTCGCGCGCAAGCTAAGGCGGTGCGGACAAACGAGCGAGTGTAGTTGCGCAAGTCGTTACAATACACACCCGCAAATGACATACACGTGTAATGGGTATTAGGTAATTAACCCCGAACGCAGTCGCAATGCGAGATTCTGCGCGATTTTGATACACGTGGATATGCACGACGATCGAATTCCGGGCATCCGGGCATTTCGAGCGGTCTTTATCCAAAACTGAAGACGTAGAAAAAAATCGATACTATTTATACCGGGATCGATACTTCCAATTGTTCGTTAACGTTTTGGACATTTATAGAGGATGAAGGAACAAATCCAAGATTTATTTATTTAGGAAATATTTATGAGAGGAACAGAAAAATGCTTGACCAATGTACATAAAAAATTAATTATTATTAAATTAATGAAATTATTTATAAAATTAATAAATATTAATTAGTATTAGTAGTATTCTGCCAGTAATCTTCCATAATGTTAAACGTATATTTTTATAGTCTTTATTTCATTGTTCATTGTGTGATCGATTGTTTTAAGTTTGTCGGAATCAGGCTGAAAGGCTGAAAGGTTGAAAGGCCTCAGATTCGAAAGCAAGAGGAAATAAAAGAAATCGGAGATCAAAATTAAATAAGTAAGAATGGAGAATACAATCGATTTATATTAATCCAAGTTCAGAAACGTGTCACTGTCGAGATATGGGCGAAATATCGAATTGCATAGGCGGCTCACAATGTCGAAAGCCTACGTGTATATCTCGTATTATTAAGCTCTCATTAGACTTCGATGCAATAATCCTCGTAGAATTATGGGAACGCTTTAAATAGCATTCTCTCTCTCTCTCTC